TCGGGAGAAAGTTATAATAATATTATTATTATTAAGAGATGCCAGATCTGGAGCAGAGAGGCAAATGTCAGTAGGGAGAAAGTTCGGAGGGGAAAAAAGTAATTGGACACACCAAATTTTGCTTTTTTTAAAAAAAATAGGCCAGCAATTGAAAGAAATTTGGTCCCTGGAATTATGTTACCACATAGTTTGTGCTTGTATTTCGCGAGCATGCCAGAACACTGGCTTAATCCATTTAAATGATCAATTTTGGTGTATACAGGGGCTTTTAATGCACATTTTGTTGATTTCGTGCATTTTTCTGATAGATAAATAATGTGATTCGGATCATTGATCAAAGCTGTCACTTTCAGATGCACATAAAGTACCACTTCATGTTTCGAACACTCCCTGTTCCAAAAATATAGAAGCGAGGGATTAAATATTGAGCAAAAGGCTGCTTCAAAAATAACAGGAAGTTTGTGATCATTGCTGTATTTGGCATTTCGCTGCTTGTCCAGCTGAAAGTTGGAGTTGAGCAGCTGTTTTAAACATTGTTTTTTGTGGATATGAGTCACCAGCAGTCTGCAATAGGAAATACAGAAAACAGCAAGTACATTTGTCTTTGACTTTACTTAAATTGGCTGTATTTAATTTAAAAAAAACAAGGTTTACTATAATAATAATAATAATCCTTGCATTTGATAGAGCGCTTTTCACGTCGGGAGGAAGTCCCGAAGCGCTTCACAGAACACACTGTAAAGTGAATTGACTGTATATTTGTGGGCGAACGCGACAGCCAATTGCGCACAGCAATGTCCCACAAACAGTCGTAAATTGAAAAGGACCAATTTATTATTGTTTTTGGTTTTGGAGGGATTATTATTAGGCATGTGGAGGAAGGAAACTTGCCCAAGGTTTCGCCCTGACCTGCCTGGATTTGAACTCAGGTCTCTCACTTGCAAAGCGAGTGCTCTCACCACTGAGCTACAGGACTCCAAAGTGTTTAAACACTGAAACTGAACGCTGCAATCTGAAACTACAGTTGCTTGCTTTACAGTGAAAAGCATTCTTATCTAATGAATGGATAGTTGGTCATGTGAGAGTTTTTTTTGTCTTGTTTAGGATGTGGCAGTGTTCTTGAATGGAGAGATCTAAGATCTTACACAAACACCTCTGACTCTATCACTCTGAAATAGTAGCCCATCTGTTTTTGGAAACTGGTTGAAATTCCTGTCATGTTAATGTTGAATGACCGGATGGATCCATTGGCTGTCTTTCAGAGACTGTACAGTAGCAAAGAGAGGACGATTAGTCACTTAACCACACTCTTGCACCCTGACACAGTTTGCTCTGTGAGTAAGACTCACAACTGTCCTGTGACTATGACCAGTGAGTATTATTTTCTCTCCCAGTAACCTTAGTCTGACTCTGAAGTGTCATTTTGATGAGTGTAATCCAATTGGTTACAATAGTAACTGTTCATTCACCTATAGGATGCTGTCTGTAGACTTCCTTAATGAGTGTTATTTACCAAGGCATTTTTGGAATTTTTGCTAAATATAGACGATCAGCAAATTTAGTTCCTGTCTGGACATCTCCCATGCCTGCTGGGGTCAAGGCAGCCATCTAATTCATCTACGTGTTAACACTTGTACAAAACATTAAATTAATCTCACTTTATTCGTTCCAAAGGATGACCAGGGTTTAGAAGAGTGGACCATATACCTATATAGTTTTATTTGTTTGCTTCGAACAGTTGTCTTCAGTAACAGACCAACATTGACCAAATATTAAGTGCGAAAGGATATTTGCAGAGGCTGAAGTTAATTGCTTTCTCTACCCAAGCCCACAAATATACAGTTAATTCACTTTACAGTGTGTTCTGTGAAGCGCTTTGGGACGTCCTCCCGACGTGAAAAGCGCTATATCAAATGCAAGGATTATTATTATTATTATTAGTAGTAGGTTTCCTTTTGCCTACAACATTTTGCCTTGGACTTGTTTGTGAGTGGCAGAAAATGTGGGTCTTTTGGTACACTTTTGTGCGCTCAAATAAGCACTTCTCATCTTATTCTAAATCCCCTTTTAAGGGGGTTCATGAGGCAGAACGACTATCACAAGTCATATCAGAATAAAGATCTGGTTTATTTGAGAGGAAATGTGCTAAATATAGTATTTCCTATGTTGTCATTCTCAACTGTTGATCAAGTGATGTTTAACTATGATCATAATATGTATAAACTTTGGGACATATTTACATATATAGTGTGAAAAACATTTGGAAGAATATCTTAAAACAGGAGTCAGTATAGCAAACTTTCTTGTATTTAGAGATACAATTGTAAATGAATCAACTAACGAGATGGATAAGAACATTCAAACTTTTTTTTCAAAATGGACACTTCACTTCCCCCAACATGATGACTTTGAATGAATCTCGATCAGCTTGATAAAACCTAGCTAAAACTATACAATAGCCACGGGTCCGATTGGTTTATAAAGCCACTGCCAGTAAAATCTGTTGCAACTTAAAGGCTTGTAAAGTTGATTTGATCATTCACTTTTCTAGTGCCTTGGCTTCCAGTGGTGAAATGTGAGCCCTGGGTAAGTATTGAGTAGCCAGTCACTGCCAACCATTTTCTACACCTTAAGGGGATTCAGAAATCAGCATGTGCTTTGTTTTTGTTGTTTCCTTGCCAATGTTCTCCTGTTTTCCTGGAGATATTTGACTCTTTTTCTTCTTTCTGCGGCAATATGTAACTGCGATCCCACAGCGATTTGTCTTCTGCAGCATTCAACTCCTCTTTGTGGAGTGTCTTCCAATTCCAAGGACTGCAGAGGGTTAACTTGCCTGTTGGCTGCTATTAGACACTAACCATCTTGATGAGTCGGATGCCATCACTCAACACTATTGAATATTCATGACCAAGCTTCGCTTTTCCTGTTCCTATGCGGTGGTTGGAGCAGACCAGGATTGCGTAACCGTAGGCTCCTGTCAATGCCAGTCTTAAACTCCCACTTTAGCTCTGCAACCTCCTGTAACTGCCACAGCTGAGAAAAAGCTTCCTTGCTCAGCAAACACTTGCCTGCTTCATGTGCCTGAGTAATCAGCCCCACCACCGGTGGGAGAGCTTTCAGCCATTCTGCACCCGATCTCTGGAACTCCATCCCAGAATCCCTGCAATGTGCCCCTTCCCTCCTGCCTTCAAAAGTCACCTTAAGATCTATCGATAAACCCCAGGAAATTTTTACCGCAGTAAATAAATGGCTTAGTCCCAAAAGTCTGAATCAGAAACTTCAGTGAATAATGTGATGCAGATGGAGATTGGAGTCTGGAGAATTATTGATGGCTTTTCATTTTGACTCCAGGTCCCTTAGAGTCAGGAATTCTGTCAGGTGCAGGCTTTGACAAGCCCAGCCAGTATAGTTCCTTGTGGAAAAAAAGACTGTAGTTTGATTTTAAACTGCAGTGTTTGGGGAGAAGGCGAGATCAACAACTGCGCATTATCTTTGCTGATCATGTAGCATGTGTTAAATGAATCGGCACAACACATTTGTGTGTGTCAAGGTGGTGTGAATATGCAAGTGTGCCAATTAAACAACTTTAAAAGTCTAAGGAGAGCATTTTAATTCGGAGTTCCACCTGTACTTTTCACTGCATTTTATTTTCATGAATTTACAGTGAATCCACAGCAACTAACCTTGTACTGCAAGGAGTGACTCTGATCAGATGGGGTTTGAGAATAAGCACACCTTTCTTGTCCCTCTGCCCTCTTCCCCTGGTCATGACATGTCCTGTTGTTTCAGAGGAAGTCTGAAATGTTTGCTGTAGGCAAGTAATCTGAAACCTCCTGTAACATAAACTGGGTCAGCACATCCTTCTAATGAATCACAACCTGGCGCCCCCTTATCTCCAACCTGCTCTCTCCCTACAACACTACCCGCTGCCTCCGCTCAACTGGCTCCGGTCTCCTTCTTGTCCCCTGGACCCTCCGCCCCACTGTCAGCGGCTGTGCTTTCAGCCACTACTCCCCGAAGCTGTGGAACTCTCTCCCTCAATCACTTTGCCTTGCCCCCCCACCCCCCCTCCCCATTTTCAGGTCTCGCTCGAAGACCTTCCTCTTCGACCTTCCTCTTCGAGCAATTAAAGATGGACAAGTCTGGTCACTTTGCAAATACCCCTGAAGGGCTGGGGGTAAACAAGTCATGCCCAGTGCCTCTCTGCTGCTACAAAACTTTAGGAAAACAACATATCTCGTTTGGTCCACACTGATAAATTAATTGCTCAGCTATCAAGCCCAACATTTTACAGTTTGGCTCCTCAGGATTCTCTAAACAGTTTGTGGTGCTTATTTTAGCTTGGTAATTTCCACACTCATTTTAGCTTCTCAATGGTTTTGAAGACAGTGAGTGGATATGTCAAAGTGGTGAAATATTGTGATTGGGTAATGCTGATCCTGTTCAGGACTTATCGTGAGTATTCAGGAAGTTCCTGTGTTGAAAGTTATTGTTTTTGTCTATCGGTACAGGGAAATTAAGACTTGGTATCAAGTTTGTACGTTCCAGGAACCCCATAATAGTGATGTCAACCTAATGACTGTTTTCTGTTTTTATTTCTCAGTATTCTTTATTTATTTAGCCCATCGGCAAACCTCAAATCTTACTCTTGATGTCATTGCATGTGATTCGCAACTGTAGGGAGAATTACATCTCTCACTTCAAAGTTTTGGCCCCCATCTACAGAGATATGCCCAAGGCTTATTTTGCCTTAATGTGACGTGTGTTTTAAACTGAGTGTGAAGTCCTGTGATTATACAAACATTGCTGTGATTCACAAAGTGTAACTCTAGGTCTTTGGCATGTTGAGTGGGGTGGTTATTTATAAGAAGAGTTTCAAACGGAGTGAGATCCCACTGTACTGTGAAATTCTGATGATGATTTCACATGGCTGATCAGTCTTCGCTGCTGTCTGTTGTGTAGGATGTTTGTTCATGTGTCTTGTCTTTTGTTTCTTGCAGAGGACCATGTGGTTGTCCTAACGATAACTGTGCACAATGCCTCCTGCTATGACGGACCCTTTGGATATCTGGGCAGTAGATTCCCAGATCCCAGCAGATAACTCCATCACTGTAGACTTCCTACTGCCCACAGGGATTTACATCCAGTTAGATGTACCTCGGGAGGCAACCATCGATCAGATTAAAATGGTACGCGAAGCTGTCATTATATGTCCTGCTATTTAAAGTCTTTGCTTCTAGTAGAAGAAGGAACGGTTTGAATATTTCTTTTACCACCCGTGCATGTCAACTATAAATGTTGTTTTATTTTACTCTAGTGCAGTCTCTATGATGTTAACAGATAGTCCAGTATGATTGTAGTTTAGATTAAAATTAACTTTGCATAGTTTTTAATCTTCTAACATTGAACCCACAATTGTGCTGTTAAAATGTGTACTCTTTTTCCACTCCTTTATATTATTAAGATTGAATCATTAATTTGGATATCTCAATTTGACGTACAACAGACTGTTTTTTGTTTGGGTAAAATTGGTCACTTTTTAGTGATCTTCATGTGTGATTTTTAGGTTGTCAATATTAGCGAGTTACTCAGCTGCAGTAGAAGCATCACAGAACTGCCAATCTTTTCTTGGCTTAGGGTCTATACACCAGTCCCTCTCGCACGTATCGTAAACAAGAGCCTTGACTAATTTTCTCCTTTTCTCAATTTGGCACTGATGCCAGTTGCAGTGACTCTACTGCCATTCTGTCTGAGATCAGCTAATTCATGCAGATGAGGATTGAGCCTTAAACATTCCCAGTCTATTTGGCTCAGCTCCTCACAGTTGCTGAACCATCAAGGGAGTCTTTCATGCAGTTTAGCATTTAAGTCTCACAGCTCAGACAGGTACATTATTTGTATCAAAGTGCTAATTATGTTTCTCTCATTTCTTCAACTGCGATATTTTGAGCTCAAAATGTAAGCTATTTGGTACACTTAAGTTGTAGCACTCTTCCCTGTGTAACAAAGTGAAAACGACAGAACCTCGATTATTCACCAATTGCGGTGATCCATAGGGACTGACCTTCATTATGGTGGATAATTGAGTTTACACTGTAATTCGTGCAAGAGGAAAAACGTTCTCCCTTTGAACTTGCTGCCTTTGCTAAATTAGCCCAACAAAGCTACAAGACTGGATAGTTTGTCAAACGGAGCCCTTTCCAAATGATTTTATCTGCTTTGTCAGAGAATGTGAAATTCCTGCGAAAGGGGGAATTGTATCTAGAACATTACCACAGCAGCTCCGTGGGCTATTTGGGGATTTGTCGGTCATTACTCAGTGCACATGTTTGATTACACTTGTTTAATTTAAATAAATATTGGACGCTCTCCATTTCAACTAAACCTCATCAGCAGTTTTTCCTACAACTTGTTGCTTATCATTTTCATTCAGCTGGATCTCCTCTAATCCAATGTTCAAAGTGTACCAAATCGCTGACCATAAAAATCGCAACTCTTTTTGTAATACACACACACACACTTACACACACACACACACACACACACAGACACACATACACGGCGATCTTCTTTAAAAATGATCTGAGAGCTTTGGTATTTTCAGCAGTGATCAGCCCTGTGTGTGTGTGTGTGTGGCCGATGATCTGAAGGGAGGATTACCAATGCTGTGGCACCAGCCACTGTTTAAATATTTCCATATATGAAAGTACAAGTTGTTCTGCCGTACAGCTCGAGTTGTTTAACCAAATAACCAGACTTTTTGCTAAGAGAACTTCGTAAAGCAAGCTTCCAGGTAATCTGTTCTGTTGTATTGCAGCTCCTATGGAGACAGGCACAGACCTACCCCCTGTACACTGTCCTTGGTGAGAAGGATTCCTACATGTTTCAATGTGTAAACCAGTCAGCAGTACACGAGGAGCTGGAAGATGAGTCTCGCCGTCTCTGTGATGTCAGACCTTTCCTTCCTGTTTTGAAACTTGTAGCCAGGAACTGCAATAGATCTGAAAGACTACTGGACTCGAAAATTGGGGTCCTCATTGGGAAAGGTAGGGTAACTCTATTCAGATGGCAGTATACCTGCCTTTGAGTCTTGTTTGCCAATAGCATTCCTAGCCTTGAGATTAAAATGTAATTGAAATGATCTGGGTCAGAGATCCGTATTTGTTTTGTTTTGGAATGTTTGTTATGATACCGACTGAAACAAACAGCTTGTGTTGACCACGAGAGAAAGTGGTTGTTCAGTGGAGTTTTTACAAAAGGATTTCCCATTCTCAATCCATCATGAAAGATACCTGTTTTCAGAGCATTATACACTTGATCTCTGTCTATAAATAAAATGAATAAAAATAAAAATAGAAGCAGCAGTCAGCGTAGACATTCCTTAGAGTATAAAATATGCTGATTCCGTGAGTAGCCAAATTCTTACTTTATCTTTTGTTTTTGTGAGGAACTTTCCACAACAGGTGGAGATCCAATGGATTATTCTGGGATCTGGTCTTTACACTGGCTATGAATTGGAAATGACCATACCTAAAATGATAAGAAACATCACTGTCTGGAATCAAATGTGCGACTGCTAGTTACAATAATCTTGCCAAATATCTAGACAGCTCTGGGCGTGCACATATGATTAGTGGCATTTTCCAAACATTGAGCAGCAAGTTTGTGCAAGTTGATTTAAACATTGCAAAGTTGTGATTTTCATTTCTGCGCATGGGCGTTCATCCAGTCACTGGGGCAAATGGCTATTGTTCATGAGCGTCTGAGACAAGAAACTGAAATGGTGAATGTTTCAATGGGACGTTAACTAGTAATCCATACCAGAGGAATCCAACTCTATCCAAATTCGATTACAAATTTGAATATTTCTCCTGTAAGATACTAAATGTACGTTGTTCATATCATCTTGTTTAGAAGAATAGGAATCCACAAATTAGTTATGTTGCTGGGGTGCACAGGTCACAATACTTTGGTCGTGATCCTGATCATTATATTCCGGGATACAGTTTGGGTGCAAACTGTTGATTGTTTCTTCTGTGTTGCTATGTAAATTACTATTTTTTTAAAAAAATGTGGTCACTCAATCCACGACTGTTTGTGGGTCATTGCTGTGTGCAATTTGCTGCTGCGTTTCGCCCACAAAATACACAGTCAATTCACTTTACAATATATTCTGTGAAGTGATTTGAGATGTTTCACTGATGTGATAAGGCGTCATATTCAAATGTAACAATTATTATTACTAATCTCTCAAAAGGTGTGAATTTTAACAGGGAATGTATATATGAATTAAGTACTTAAATTGTCTGGAACAGTGATATTTGAGCATAAGATTCATTGATGTGTTCTAAATCCTATTGGAGAGAATGCATAATTTGGTGCTGTTGCATTGTAGGTCTCCATGAGTTTGATGCGCTCACAGACCCCGAGGTGAGAGAATTCCGGAGTAAGATGCGTATGTTCAACGAGGAGAAGATGCTCAAACTTCAGGGCCTTTCCTGGATGGACTGGTTGAAACACAGCTTCCCTCCTGAACTGGAATCCACCGCCTTCAATAACTTCGAAGACAAGCTACCCAAAGAAAATCTTGTTGTGGCTGTTCAGTTCGACTCTTGCCAGGTTCGTCACGTTAATGTTGTTGTGTGTCATTTACCTCATGAAGGTTGAAGGTATTTAACTTCCATTTATAATGTGTTGCATAAAATGTTTTGACATGTTTTCACATATCTCCCAATATCCTGATGCTATGCAGTGATGAGGATGACATACCATTCGGTTAAGTAACACTTGCTTAGCCCGGTAACCATGTGAGTGAAGAGTACAATCTGGATAGCAACCATTAAGCAGAGCACTGCATAGCAATATTCTTTCCCTGGGATGTATCTTGTCCTGATTTTGAAAACAAAGAGAGAAATAACCTATAATTATTCCATTTCCACCCATTATTGCCTCCAGTTTTGGTTGTACTGCATATATATATATATATATATAAAATATTGTAAATTGGTTTCTTTAAAGATAACAAAGTTGTATTGGACACCCAGTCTATTTTTATGATGACATGATGTTGTGGTGCGTGAAAATTTGGGAGCTTTGAGATGTATTTTATGTAATCAAAGACTCACATCTTCAACTTAGTTTGACTGCTACAGTCTGTTCAGAATTGCTATCTGCCTGATTCGAACCACACTTTTTTCTACTGAAAATGCATAAATTGAGTTTGAGCCTTGCTAAAGTTTTTAACAGAGAAATGTATACGTGAATGAATGAAGTAGTTACATTCTATTACTAGCCAGGCAGTATCTACATATCCCAGCTGAACCTATAACACTTCAATTCTTTGAAATTTCTTCCAAAAATAATAATAATAATAATTTGGTCACTCAGTCCAGGACTGTTTGTGGGACACTGTTGTGCGCAGTTGGCTGCCACGCTTCTTCCACAAAGCTGCCAGGAAGGTTTCTATCTGGTGGAAGGTTTCCAGCCGAATAAACTCAGCATTGTGTTTTTAACACCATTGTGACTCTCCAGATACTTGCCCTTCCTTGTGCCAACGATGAGACGTAATTATGCTTAATTGTTCCAAAATATCTTGATCCAAATTAAGACTAAATTAATTTACAAATTTGTAAGTTAGTTGAAATAAGTGTCATACACGCACGGGAAGATTTTATTTGTCTGCTATTTTGGATTCCAACCATACCACAGTAAAGCATTTTTTGTCTTGCGGGAAAGAGATTTAGACTTCACAAAAAACTCAAATTCTTCCATTTATTTTGAATAAATCTCTTCATTCCTTGAAGTGTTTTTCAGTAACTCTAGAGGTTGGGTAAAGTTCTTCTGCAGAAGTGTTGTTTTTGGCTGAGGATGGCTGTCAAAATCAATATGCTCGTTGGAAAACTGGCGAGATCTCTCACTTACTGAAAAACATTCTTTACAAGGTGCAAGACCTGCATTTCTACAGATTTATAGAAACGGTTGGACAGAAAAACTAACATTATTGTACTCTGATAGAACAAGATCAGGCTCCTAACTACATAAGCAAATGCCAGTTTCACACAGTGCAAAACAGAGTTATGTTTTATTTTCCTTCCCCCTTCAGTAGGTTGCTCAGTGTCTCAAGTCCCCTCTGCCCTTGTGTTGATTACTCACTATTGAACTCACACTCGTTTCTATTACTGATCTCTGAACTGCTGTTGCTGAATCATTATTTTCTTTTTGAAATCCAATAGATCTCAGTTTTAATTTTACTGTTGCTGACTTTACACGTTTTGTTTTCATTTCGAGAGCAGTATATCAGTGCCTAGGCAGATGTCCCAAATAATAGCAGCTCGCTGGTAGCCTGTGTGTCAGCTGGTGTACATATATTCTCTTCTGAAATTAAAGGACAAGGTCATGAAAAAAGTGTCTGCTAACGTTTTTCTTGTGAGGTGGGTGGAAGACGTATTAATTTCCTCCCCCAACCCGCCACCCACCCCCCATAGCTGCCCCTTTAAAAGAATAATTTAATTGAGAGAAATGTGTTGATCTCATTGCCCGTCCCTGCAACTGACCATAATTCAGTGTAAAGTGAGGCTGCCTCCTTGCTTGTCTTCTCTTCCTCCAGCCTCTTGATTCAATCAGCCGATGCACCTGCAGCTTTGAATGATAAACAAGTCTTGAATTGGCTTCAGTACAGTGACCTACTTCTGTATTTCTGAAACAGTTGAATGAAAGTAGAACAGACTAACATTATTCATTTATATTTTAGGTGGGGGGATTTCTGTGTGCTTGTATTGTGGCTTAATTTGTTCACAAAGTACTTTACACAACCCAGTTGTGGTCTGTTTATCAAGCACTGTGAATAACCCACATGTAAGATAACATCTAATGATTCAAATCCAAATAGAGAACTAAATGCTTTGTATTGCTATCATATTTCTGTTCCGACAATATGATATTTTTAGTATAATATTCAATATATCTGCTTTGAGAATTGAGTGTTTCACAAATACGTTGCCTACTTGTTAAAATCTTTTAGCTGTTCGATTTGTTGTATCTTTTTAGGACAAATTGTGCAAAGAAAAGAAAAAGTTATTTCGACATATATTTCACCAGTTGGTGAGGAAGCCAAAATGAGGCATTGCGTATTATATATTTAGCCTAAGTTGAATTTAAAACGTTTGGGTGCAAAGCTTATCTGCGGCACTTATTTGGTTCCTTTAGTGCCTTATTATTGTAATTTTAATTTGGTGTTCATTAGACTAATTTACCTTCGGTTAGCCTGTATCTCCTCTCAGAGGGCACAAGCAATGGTGAAGTCGGTAATGGGAGCAGGAAAGCAGATCAGACGAGTGGTGAAAATGTACTTGCTCATTTGGTAAATAGCAAGCCTGTGATGAAGACTGTAGTGCTCTGTGGTATTGCCTGATTGTGCATGTCCTTTAATTAAATAGCTTAATTATCAATGGCAGAATTAGTATTCTAGGAGTTTCCAATGCCAGCTGGTACACGCTGAGAAAATAGCTCCTTTTGAGGAAAATATAGAATTGCAATGTGGAACACATTTGAGAGAGACTGCTGTAATTGCAGAAGATGATGTGCAAAACTGTGAGAAGACCTGGTCCATTTGGGGACCTCCTATAAATATCAATGGAATGTAAAGGATGTCTCGATTTGAACTTTGAAGAAGGAATGATTTCAAGTTGAGTTAATTGCTTATCTGCTGTGCGCAATTGGCTGCTGCGTTCCTCCCACAAAATACAGTCATTACACTTCACAGTATATCCTGTGAAGTGCTTTGAGACTCTCGACAACGTGATAAAGCGCTATATTAAATGCAAGGATTATTAGTATTATTGTATCAGAACTTGCTGCTTATGTTTTTCAGTCGATAACATTTGGAGGGACATTGTCTAATCTTTGTTCACAATCCTATTACAACAGGTACCAAAGAGAGATTTACCTGACTGCCTCTATGTTACTAACAGTAGAGCTTAGTATTACTGAGATAAATAACCTGTATCTGAGCCCAGAGCACTGTGTATTATAAAGCTGGAGTGCTATTCATAACAGAAATGTAAATCTCTCTTTTTCTACTTTTAGGAGAACTTCAGTTTCCAGATATCCCCCAATTTAAACCCTCTTGACCTAAATGAGCTTGCCATCCGGAAGCAACTTACTATCCATGGAAAGGAAAATGAGGAGTTCAATCCCAGAGATTTTGTTCTTCGCGTTAGTGGAAAACAGGAATATTTATTTGGCGAGCAACCGCTGATCCAGTTCCGGGTATGTTCAGCCTATGAGCAGGCATCCTGTCAAATCCAAAGTAGATGGTTTTAAAAAATGTGCAACAACAAGAAAGCTGCTAAATTTTATTTTAAAGAGTCTGCACTTTTATAGATGGGGAATTGGTCTTAAAATCCTCATAGATGGATCCTCAATGCAAATCATGACTTAAATTACTTCCTATCCTGATGTCTAATGAAAGCTGTTCACTAAAAATACATTTGGTGAGTCTCAATCGTGTAATATAAGAATCAATTTTTTTTTAAGGGATCAGCATGTGATTAAATCACCTTTCCTATCAGAATTCATGTCCTTCAACTAACTCTGCTGTTAGTGCAAGTTACTGTCTGGTCCTTTAACTTTAGTTTTCTTTATTTTGATTGATTGAGGACTGACTCTGGGGTGAATCCAGTTTTGGGCTGTTGCCACTTCACAGCTAATTAAAAGAGTAGTTTTTTTCTGGATAACTTGCTTAATTGTATAAAGCAAGGTGGAGGTTTATGGACTTGAACCATTTGCTAAAGTCAAGTGGTTCAAGGAGTTTAGGTGCTGAAAACTTAGTTTATAGAAGTGTCGGACGTCTAAGCCTGACTAGAATGAGCCAGGATATGTTTAAAATGCTTCCGGCCTTTCAGCCACTACCCCAAAGGAATTCTGATATTGGGTTAATTTCCCTGATAGTGTGACAATTTAATTATAACTGTATTTCTCATGGACTTTTTGCAATGAGTTTCAGTTGCAATAAACACATCTTATTTGCACTTCAGCTTTCTCTGATCTAATATTCTGGTTTGTAGTAAGTGATGTGCAAACATATACATTTTTTAAACCTATAAATTCTAAAAGACTTGGGGTGCGGGAGGCAAATAAATGGTGGTTTTGTATACATTAAAGATATTTCTTAATGGAAAATACCCATCATGTCCACTCCCTAATTTCTTTGATTTCTAAAACAGTATATTCGAAATTGCGTGCTGAAAGGAAGCAACCCCCAACTGACCCTTGTGGACTGTTGTACCATTAAGGAAATGTGTGACCGAGAAATGTCAGCTATCGGTGTAGCTTTGCATCGAAAAATATCCAATGCTCCTCTTCCTCTGCCTCCCAAAAGGCGGACCATCTCAGTAAGTACTCAATCCCTAAGAACATCTCTGTTATACAGTACAACCTCTTGTTACATGTGTGATGTTGCCAAGCCTTATTGTATTGTAGTATACAAAGTTTATCAGCATGGACCCAGTTTTAACTTTATTGCATTACTAGTACGAAAGCAGTGCATATTTTGCCAATTTTCAATGCAAGAGTTTTGCTTTCTTGTCAATTTAGTTAAATGTTTACTTAATTGTAGTTTTGCCTTTGCTCTGTCATTGTCACCCCTCCTCCCCATGGCCGAATTTGTGAGTTTCTCCATGGGCCTGGCCAACAATCTTCCACATAAATTGGTCAATTACTTTCGATGTGATAAAGTGTGTCAAATGCACATATTATTAATATTATTTATATACTGTACATTGCTGCGTATTAAATTGTGTTGCCTTTTCTGTATTTTGTAGCAAATGGCAACTAACGTTTGGGATATAAATAGTCCGTTCAAAATGCTCCTAATTCGAGGAAACAAAATAAATGCAGATGAAGCAGTTCGGGTAAGTCTTCTTCTCATGGTGATCAAAATATTGTATATGTTATGATAATTTTTGGGGTTCAGCTGTGGAAATCCATCACCATGCCGAGGAGAATCCAAACCGAGAGTTCCATGCATCCCATTTCTACATGGAAATTCCAGAGATGTTTATTGGAATGGAATATTATACCTTACATCCTGTAGAGGATGTACAGCTTGCTGATAATGTATGATAGCAATGTATGATAGGTGTTCTGAAGGTCTAAGACCAAATATCTGAAGGAGTTTCCTCATCCCAAGCTCTTGGATGGTAGCACGTAGTTGGTAGATGATGCTGTTGGGGAAGGGCTGGTGGAGCTTCTGCTGAATATATCTTGGTTGCTTCATGTTGCTGCTTCATAATCAATCTCATTTGTATTTCTGTATCTGCAGGTGCAAGTCAGAGCAGGGATTTTCCATGGGACAGAACTCCTCTCTAAATCTGTTGTTAGCACAGAAGTTTCTGGCAAAAATGATCTGGTCTGGAATGAGATCCTGGACTTTGAAATTAATCTCTGTGACTTGCCAAGAATGTCTCGATTGTGCTTTGCGGTATACGGAGTGATGGATAAAGTGAAGAAGCAGAAATCAACAAAGAATGCATCAAAGTACCAGACCATTCGAAAAGCCGGAAAAGTAGTGAGTATTTCTAACTTTCTATTCCCTCTATACTTCTTTATTCCCTTTTCCCCACATGTGTGTATGTTTGTAAAATTATTTTTAAAAACTTAGATGAAGTTAAAGGCTGTTTTTACAATTTGAAGCCTCAGACAGAATTTCTTTCTTTCAACGAATTCATCATTCACACTCAGACCAAATCCTTAGAGCATGAATAGATGGATGAGGTGTTGTTTTCTTCATTTGTGGACGCAAATATATAAAAGCCCCGGGATGATATTAGATTCAGATAATGTTAATGCTTTTCTCTTTGTCGAAATCGAGAAGATTATGCCAGCAGAGAAGTATCTGAGTTCCGAATTATTATTATTTATAATTAATCATTGTTCTAAAGCAAGAGCTAGTGAGAGTTTGCCTTGCAGTAATGCCTCATTGACCCGGTATATTATCGCCTCCGTTGGGAGCAGTTTATAACTCGGTTGGGCTACTGGACTTATTTGAAAAGCAGTTTGATGCTACGATGGGAGGTCAGGAGGGTGTGTGTTCTGGAGGGATGAGATGGGCTGAATTGGTCTGATCCAAATCAATCTTGTGAATGATCTTATCAAAAAAAAAGCAGATTTTTTAAAAAAAGTTATTTTCTCTTTGTTAACAGCACTATCCGATTGCATGGGTGAACACCATGGTATTTGACTTCAGAGCACAGCTGAAGAGTGGAGATCTTGACCTGCACTGCTGGTCATCATTTCCTGGTAGGTTTACAAGAGGGCTTTGACATGCTTTGTTTTCTCCTAGTCTTACCCAATCTATAAAAATGGACAGATGCTCAGGCAAGCTAATCTCCTCGTATTTGTGGAGTCCTGTAGCTTAGTGGTTAGAGCACTCGCCTCTCAAAGGAGAGGACCTGGGTTTGATTCCCGGGCAGGGCGAAACATTGGGCAAGTGTCCTTACTCCACAAGCCTCTATTCAGGAGTAACTGGGAACCCGTTTGTTAGTCGATTGGCGGATTGCTTTTGCAGGGGTAATAATCCCTTCAACAACAACAAAAAAATGTGGTCACTTAATCCACGATTGCTTGTGGGAAACTTCTGTGCGCAATTGGCTGCCGTGTTTCACCCACAAAATATGCAGTCGATTCACTTGACAATATATTCTGTGATGCGCTTTGAGACGTCTGGAAGACGTGATAAGTAAGGCATTATATCAAAGGCCAGGATTATTATTTATTTCAGATGAAATGGAAGATATGCTGAATCCAATGGGAACAGTGCAGACAAATCCATACAGTGAGAATGCTGCATCTTTACATATTCAATTCCAGGAATATAGCAAATCGGTCATCTACTATCCTGCTTTTGATAAGGTAAGCCTTTATTACATCTTTCACACCATTGATTTCTACTTGTATCTGTTATATCTTTGTTTGCCTTTTAATATCTGACAATGTGTAACCTGGTTTTTAATTTTTTAAAGAAAAAATTATATTTTTTCTCGTGTTTTATTCACTGGAATGTTAAGAATGGAATAGTTTTTTCACTTCACTGGCTCCATTGAATACTATCTGCACACTACTCCAACAATGTTCCTTGATCGGTATCTTAAAAGACCATCCCCACTGTGGCAATGTGGTCTATGATTTCTAATATAATTCCTTATTAAGGAAACTGGAAGGTTGTCACAGTGAAACTGTCCCCACACCATCTGCTCCAACACAGTAAAGTTACCCCACTACATTATCCAGCCCCCACTTCCTGGACATAGACGAATGAGAAGATCTCAAGGTCATCTCTCCACTCCTTCCCACCCCCCACCATTTTATGGAGTAAATGGAAAATGTACAACCTATGCTCAGTATCTCCCCTGATGGTTATGCTAACATGGGGAATTGCAAACGCAGCATGTTACACAATGCAGTGCTGGGCAAATATGATCTTTTTAATAGAATTCTCAGCTCTTAACTTGCTCAGCTTCTTGGATGGACAATGCAATCAAAATTTCCATAAAAGCGCATCGAAAAACATGACCCAACTTGTTTTGGGTTTGCAATAAATATTTTATGAAACCCAAATCTCTCCCGTGTTTTGAAAAAATATCTTGCAGGAAGCTGTGAATAATAGTTTTTGTATTGAGCCCGAACTTGATGATGTTATATCCCTCTCCTGGTTACCAATGGTGTGTCCTTGTCTGTAACAAAGTTGTATAGAATTGCTGAGGAGGTAGGACATGTTAAGATACGAGAAATATCCTGCAGTCTGGACTGGCTAGAGCCAGTAATTATTTTCTAGTTGTGTATTCTGTAACTACACCCTTCCAACGATTATTTGTATAACCCATATTTACACAATGGAAGGGAGTCCTAATCTAATTCTGATTCTACACTATTAATAGTTGTCCTTTGGGTGTAACTCAACTTTTTAGTTTCTTTGAGGAAAGGCACCGAACGTGTGAAATTAAAAATTCTTTGTAATTTAATTCAGTAACTTGGGCATTGAATTTATAAAGGAGATATCCCACATTAGGCACCAATTTATCCACATCACACATAGCTAACTGTCTGTCTGCTATCTGTTGAGATATTGAACCCAATTCAGGTATACAATGAAACATAAAATTAGGAGTAGGCCGTTCAGCCCTTCGAGCCTGTTCCGCCATTCAATGATGTCCACCTCAGCTCCAATTACTGCCCTTGTCCCTTATCCCTCAATACTCTTAAATTTGCTGGTTAGTGGAAACTGTCTGTATAAATACAGCTATCTAATTGATTTTGAAATGGACAGGCTGTGTAACAGGTCTGGTACTGATGTATTGCATGTTCGACAAGAGAGGCTTAGAAGGTACTTTGTGCCATTTTAATTAAAAAGGGTACAGCACAATTGTTCACACAGTGCTCTCTAATGAATGAACATGGTCAGAAACAGATTGGGGAGTAAACGCAGGAAGTGATGTTGTATTTCATGAGGCGTGTGGCCTGATTATCTGTCTGCCAGGATTCTCTGGGTGGTACTGAAAGGCAATTTGAATATGAAGTAATATAGCCGTGGATGCGATAACATTTTGCTGAAGTAGAAATATGTTTAACGTTTGTCTTTTTCCTTCTCTTCTTTCTCCCAACCCCTTGTGTGTTTTTTTAAAAAAAAAAAGATTTTGGAAAAGGCAGCTGAGATTGCTCGAAGCAATGATACACTAAGCATGTCGGTAAGTTTCCCGAGTGAGATGAGTGGTGCATACAGCAGTGCCATCTAGTGCTCCTTAACTCAATTACAATACAATAAACCACTACGTACTCAATAGGGGTGGGTGTTTCTGACGGGTTTATCAGCAAAATAATTCAATATTAATTTTTTTGTACCCAGCAAAATGCTTTCATTTTTATTTTTTAAAAAAATCTTAACTTTTAAAAGGTCGAAATCGATCAGTCTTTTAAAATCTTAATTATATTAATATTAACAGGGCCAGTGCCCCAATAGACGAAGCCAGATTCAAAGGTTGGTTTCCTAGATGTTGCATTGTGTGTTAATTGTGTTAATGCATTGTAGTAAGCAATGAAAAGTGGGTATTTTAAACTCTTGTTACCTAATTTGTGTTCTGAAAACAAATTCACCAGTATTTCATTGTTAACTGTGCATCATTCAGGGCAGAGGAGGTAAGAAGTTGCACATTGAGCTGAAAGAAATCATGGAGCGGGACCCACTATCTCAACTCTGTGAAAACGAGATGGATTTAATTTGGACCCTGCGATATGACTGTCGTGAAAACTTTCCTCAGTCATTGCCTAAACTATTGTTGTCAGTCAAGTGGAGTAAGCATGAAGATGTGGCTCAGGTAAGGCTATTGAATTTGAGCCCTTACTTTTCAAATGCCGGAATTGAAACTTCTAAAGGTTATCAACAACAATAATGTTTGTATAGCACCTTTAAATCAATTAATGTATCTTAATGTGATGTGGGCATTCCTAATAACAGCTGAGCCCAAACCTGTCCTCGCCCAACCTGCACATTGGGTTGGTAAATACATAGTTTTTGCATTATTTGGTGATATTTTTAAATGTATAATCTTCTAAGATTACTTCCTGAACCTTGTATAAATCCACATGAGGTCCAGTCTACTTGTTCCCAGATGAAGGTTAAAGTTCCAAGACAGTATTGAAAAGAATAGAAGGGAGATTTTCCTGATGTCCGAGCCAACAATCATCCAGGTTAATTGATCACTCAACTCAGGGTACATGCCAGGGGACAGAATCTGTAATTTCATTTACAATATCCAGAACTAAAAGCTGCTTTGCTTCCTCACTCCACTCGTTCTCTTTTTATTTGAGCTGACTAGATAAAAGTGACAATAACAGGAAACTACTGTCTTAAATGTTTTCGTAAGATGTGCGGTTTCAAGAAGTCCCAAATTAATGTGAACACTTTTTTAAGCGTTCAAGAAAACATTCCCAATAATTTCTTCTTTAAGAATTCAGGGATTAAATTAATTGGATTTTCTCCAATGTTCAATTCCATTTCTATTTGTTTTCAATTTAGGTAACTATTTGATCTTGTTGAGAAAACCCCATAGATTCGTGCCACGAGTTGAATGACTCTGCTGACCTCTGAAGCCACAGTCTCGTCAGTTTAGAAAAAAGAATCCTCTCTGGTTAATTTTAGTATGTTGACGTGACAAAAACACTTGAAGAAGAAAAGCAATTATTTAATGCACCAAAAAACAAGGAACCTGTGACTAAACTCATGTTAATACTATATCAGGAAGTCCCTAATAACGTGGCTCACTTTTGTTTGCTTGCGTAAGGCCCCGATCTTAAAGGATTGCTCAATAGTGGTCAGGTTAAGATCAGGACCTGGGGGAATGAGAGGCAAAGAGGGGAGGGAAAGAAGCTAAGGCAGGGATAAGGGAACCTGAATATTGTGTCCAGTATTGGACACTGCACCTAAGGAAAGATGGGCGGTAGACTGGGTGGAGAGGAGGTACACAATCAGTTGAGTAGTTTGACCTATAAGTGGAAATAATAATACAAAAATTTCTTGCATTTGATATAGCACCTTATCATGTCATTGAGTTGTCTCAAAAGTGCTTCACAGCATATACTGTAATGTGAATTGACTGTATATTTTGTGGGCGAAGTGGAGGAACTGGGACTTTTTTTATACCAAAGAAGGTTGAAGGGAGACCTGTCTTTAAACTTGTGAGGGGTTTTGATTGAGTCAGTAAGGAGAAATTATTTCCACTAGCGGGTGAGTCAGTAACGACAGCATCGATTTAAGATAGTCAACAAGCAAATGGGAGGCTAGGATAAACTTTTTTCATGCACAGAGTAGTGGGTGTGGAATGCCTGTCCGGGAGTAGTAGTTGAGGTAAAATCCATATTGGTCTTCAAGAAGAAAGTAGACAAATATATATAAAAAGAGTCAGCTACAGGGATATGGGGAAAGGGCATGTGAGTGGGACTGAAAAGCTTGCTCTCGAGGTGTCAGCCCAGACACGATAGGCCAAATGCCCATCTGTGCTGTAAATTTCTATGGTTCTAGAAGCATGTTTCTCATGACCTGGTGCTGTGCAGTCATTCTACAGTCCTCTTCACTGCTGGATAGCTGTTCGATTGGACTGTTTCAGATGATAAACCAGAGAAAATTACATTGAACGTGCTGCAGGTCTGAAATTCAACAGTTCGAAATTTGCTCAGCACACCAGCGAAGATCTGATGTTTCTTGGTCAATTGGCTTTTTAGAAATTGTTGGTAATGATGATGGGGGGGAAAGATGAGGAGCCATGGCCGAGCAATTCTCTGACGTTCCCTTTCTGTTGTCATTCATGGAAGGCAAGTTCACCTCAGCTAACAGCCACTAATGAATCAAAATCCTGTCGGAACGTTTTCACACAGTATTAATGCAGAACACGTTTGATCAGATGTAATTGGCAGTGCAGAAGCTGTCTTTGTACATGTGTACATCTATCCAGGGCTCCTTGGTAATATTGGGGTTTGATTAATCTATTCCGTATGAGCAATGTGCAGGACAGACTGCTGGCTAGAACATTATTATAGAACAGCTGTAGGCAAGAGAAGAGGGTATTTTTCAGCACATTTTGAAATACTGTGGAATTAATAACTCCATATACTTTAGGCTACAGTGGCTGGCCATTGCCTTTAGAAAACAATAGAAATTCTTGAAAATCCAGTGCCTTATTTATGCTACAGACATGCATTAGAAAATACTTCCTCATGCTTGTTTTATGGGGCTGGTTTCAATAACAGGAGACAAAAGCAGAAAATATCCAAAGTGGCCAAAAAAAGGCTGCCATGTCCACAACTATCTCCCAACCATCGTTTTCTGTTGCAGTTCGAGGAAATTCTATGGCATCTATTGGAATGTGGCATCTCTGAAATCCACATTGTGTGAGGACATGTACATGTTTTTAGTGTTTTTAAAAACAAATTGAGATCAGGTAGACTCAAGGACCTCCAAACCTATCTTGTGAAATTGAACCACATTCCGATCCAGGTTATTCAAACGCATTTTTTAAAAAAAAAATTAGGAATACAAAAAGTGCAGTTTGATTAGCGTTTGAGAGCAGTTATTATTTCTGTTGCACTTTTCATTACATAGCAATTATGGTTTTGCTTTTATCTCCACCTGCAGAAGTAACTTGTATTTTGCAGTCTGCACCCAAAGCTTCATGCTGGTATTTGACTGCACTCTCACCTTTTACAACCGCTCACTTTCTGGCTCTGATTTTAGGTGAATTTTCCTTTTGCTTTGGGATGTTACAGTACCAGATGGTGGTCAGGTATCTGATTTCTTTTTGTCTTGTTTTGACTCCTAGTTGTTATAAATGAGGTGTTGCGAGTAAAACAATGCAATACATCAGTTTTTACTATCACACAATGGAGCTAGAAATTGCGCTGGTGGCAAAAGGATTTGTAAGCAGCGAATCTGGATGTGTTGTAGCCAACGCTCTGGTACTCTGTTCGGATGTCATTATTGTGGAAATCAACATCCATCCGAGTGGAGTTTCCACGATGCATCTGAGATTTTTGAGTAATGAATCCTTTTGTGACTCTGCAGTTTGCCCCCTTCCCCCCACACCCCCTCCCGTAACATGTGCATAGTCCTGACTACTGAATAAAACAGACTATATTCCTGCGCAGTCTGTCTGTAGAAAAATGGAGGGTCACAGAAAATGTATATTCACACATAGTGGACAGGAATAGCCACAGACTTGCTGAGGTGGTAGCATATCAGTAGGTAAAAAAAAAAAAAAAAAACTTGATCTCCTTCAAACCAGTGTGTAGCCCAGCAGACGTAGGTTTAAAAGAATGTTCTGGAAGGATTGAAATTCATGAACGGTCAATGATCAGAAGGAAAACATAGTCCGTAATGGGTTTCCTATATGATGTAGCAGGACCAAAAACGCCATGCGCTATTTATGTGCTTTGATGATTGAGTTAAATTTAATCTTTGACGGGCGGAGAAATGAAGGAAAGAGACAGGAGTGTGCTTATTTATGGAAGTGGGTCAGTTTCACTGGTCAGCAACAGCCCTTCAGACAGGAAGCTTACATGACCTGTATAAAATGTGTCCAGTTTAAGGCCTCTGGGAAAAGAGCAAGAAATTAAGAGAGGCACCTTATGCTGGGAGAGTGAGAGGGATACATCACTACATAACCTATCCAGGTAAAGTGTTCTAAAGCTGCCTGGCTCACACTCATCAGCTGAGAAAATAACTGTATTCCAGGTAATCTAATTCTGCTTGGGTATCTAATATGATCAGTTAATTAACTTGTCGAGAATTACTTTCACGGCGAAGTGCTATCGGCCAGTGAGTGATGTGGAGTTAAGTAAGCTCCTGTGAAAGATCTAAACAAATGGGGAAATCCTGCAACCCCCTTCAAACGATGTAAATCATGATAATTATATCCAAGAAGCATTTGTAGACCCGAGTGAATTTCTCAGGGCATCCAAGTTGCTGTGACTTTGGAAATACCTTAAGAGTGAACACTATACGTGTAATTTTACTGTGAACAAATTGATCCTTAGACACGTGGGGTGCTAATGAATTGCTCCATCATATACGAATATGTTGAAACCTATTAAAAATTTATTTTTATTCCCCTTTATCCCTTCTTTCTCTCTTCCTCCCCTCAACCCCCCCAAGCTTCTGGCAAAAATACATACTTCCTGGACTTTGGGGGACTTGTAGAGCTTCTAAAGTGACAAATTTGATCCAGATGCTAAAATATACCCTGAACTGCTGTCAAAACACCCTCCTTGTTGCACTGTGACCTTCTGGTTGCTATTGCCAGATACCCACCCTAGTTGCTGTGCTCATTGGCCTGTGCTTCCCATCTGAACAGAATGACATTAGGAATATCAACAAACTTGCCAGTATTTTTGGAATTTCCCTGGCTACTTTTACAGGTCTGATTTCCGCTGAGCTCTGATGAGAGGATCCAGAGTGTATACATGGGAATTGTCGGGCAGAATAATTACATTTTTAGTAAGAAAATGCATCCGTTACTTTTTAACCTTCATACATTATTACTTTTAATTAGTTTTTATTGGACGGCTTTGGGATGGTCATAGGAATGTCGTTAATGCAAGATACTTTCTTTTAACAAAGACTTGTTTTTAAACCTGTACATCAATGACCCTCTTGGGTCCAGTGCTCTGGGGGAATTTTCACAACAAGGCAGTACAGCAGAACAATGCTTCACAGCACACAAATTGAGTGGAAATACAAATGTGCTTCATTCAGGACTTGGTAAATGTTCTGTAGGTAATCTGAAGTTCTATTGGCAGGAGTGTGGTAAAGTAAATAGGACACTAAAGGACACGGCAGCTCCAACAGAACATAGGTAGTGATTTGAAATTGGAAACCGATTTATTGGACCTCTGCTTCTCTTTTGGAGTTGTGGCATTTTATGGATAGGCATTTGGATGATCCAACTGTACAATAATGGAGCAACAAGCTGTGAATTTAGATAATAACCATTACAAAAAGAAGTTATCTTGTGGATGTGTTTCAAACAAAGTAATGTAAAGTTGAGTGCAGGTAATTTTCAGACGTTTGAGTGGAATTGAGTACGAAAGGCTTTTGCTTGTCGTCCTTGTTCATCAGCATTACTGATCGTGGTATTTTCATCCACCAACAGAACTATGTTATTGTTACTTCACAAAGCTTCCGCCAGAGGCTGTGCTGAGAAATGGTAACTTAATTGTCAGTTAAAGTCCATTAGACGTTATAAATAACGTGATTTGCTGTCCTGGCAAGGTATGGCCTGATTAGCGAACTTTCAAAACTTTGCCTTGGAGATTTGTTCCCTATCTCTGAAGATAGGCAAGTAATCCCTTCCAACATCTATTATTCCCTAGGTTTGTCGTGTTAGCAAGCGAGAGACCTGAGTTCAATTCCAAGCAGGGCGAAATCTTGGACAAGTTTCCTTACTCCACACAGAGCCTAATAATAATCCCTCCAAACCCAAAAACAATAATAAATTGGTCATTTTCAATCTACGACTGTTTGTGGGACATTGCTGTGCGCAATTGGCTGCCGCGTTCGCCCACAAATATACAGTCAATTCACTTTACAGTGCGTTCTGTGAAGCACTTTGGGACGTCCTCCCGACGTGAAACGCGCTATATCAAATGCAAGGATTATTATTATTATCGTTTGTGCAGAAGGTTTAACCGCAGCCCCAAAAGTTTAAAGACATTAAAAAAAACATTTTCAATCCAGCAGTGAAATCAATTTTGAATTTAGGTATCTGCTTCCTGAATGTAAAATGTTGGTATTGCAGAAACATGTGACCAAAGAAACAGTTTTTCTGGGTGAAGGAGGAAAGGCCCATGCTGTTAGATCAACAACAGGAAAAAGCTGCATTGCAGCTCTCAACATGATCTGCACAGAAATCATTGCACTCCAGTGTACTGGTTTTCTCCTTGCACAATTTCATTGTGCCCGTACTTTTCATTCAGCCAAGGTGGAAATGCACATAAAGTCTCAAAAGGGCATATTTTGCTAGGAAATGTAAGGGAGTCGGGCTGACTGACCCATTTGTACAAGAAAATTGTGGCAGTTGATGATTATCTGCTGAAAAGCTTAACCCTGGAACAATATCTGTTTGTTTAATTCATTCACTTAACTCATTTGTGTCAATCTGTATGAAAGATGGTTTCAGTATAACTTGTAGAAGTGAAGCTTGTTGGATAATTGCAAACGTATGATAACAGATCAGTTGGACCCCTTCTGTCATTAATAGAGAAGCTGAGATTAAATCGCACTGTCTCGACTCTTAGGCTCCTGTTCAATTTAGACTGTATTTGGGGAAAAATTAGTGTACATATTGTATACAGAGTGTAAGGATATGCATGATGGAAATAATGGAACAAATGGTCTGTTTTTTGGCACTGATTATTTCTTCTCCAGGGGTTGATTACATTAGTTATCAATACACACGCTTAATTTTGCTAACTTAACAAAATATTTTTTCTACTTCGATGCTGGAACCCGCTTAAAGGAGAAGCAAAATTTAATTTAATTTTCTAAATTGTATAATAGACCACCCCAATATGGAGCTGTCTTTCAGAGGCAACCAAAAAGTGCACTCTCTAAGGGGGAAATCTTAAATCGGTTCTTTATTGGTAAAGGAGGCATAACAATTTTTTTTCAGAGGCTGGAATTCGTTTCAGCCTTAAGAAGGTTATGCTATTTTGGCTCACATATTTTTAAAGATATGAGTGCTTGGGAATAGCTGTTTTAGTTTTCATTGTGATTCTCAGCCACGTCATTGATTTCTGGGAAACTCCCTGCTGATGATTCGCAAGATAAATGCATTAACCTCATTTAATGCGGAATGATTATTGGAATTTAAGATGGACAACACAGTACTTCAATATTGTGTACTTCAGTCTGCAATTCCTACAGCACCTTCAAAGAGATCTCATAACAGAAATAGTTGTGTTACCGCTGATCTAATTGTAGAACACTGAATGGATTAAACATACTGGGTTTCTTACTCCCCAAATGCTAAGAAAGTGATGTGTTTCCCCCCCCACCCTCCCCCTCGCGCCCCTCTTCAGTCATATTTAATGGATACTGATTTATTTTTCTTCTTTAATGCAGTTAGTAAACGTGTAATTCCAGCAGTGAAGGATTACACAAGTCTTACTGCCTTCTGCAGCCTGACCCTTAGGTAGTGAGAATCAATTTTCTCTTGCATTGTGTGTAAACTAAGTGTAAATCATCTTTAAAAGTTAGCCAAAGGGGACACAAATACATCTCTTTCCATCTCGTTTAACTAACCAGGTTTATTCTTTTGATTTTAATTTTATCTCTTGCTCTCATCTCATGTTTTTGCCCACAAAATATGCAGTCAATTCACTTTACTGTATATTTTGAGACATCTCAACGACGCAATAAGGCCCTGTATCAAACGCAAGGATTATTATTATGTTGGAACATCTCTAGCCTCTTTTTTTGTATATCTATGCCACATATATACGAGACTGGGCTTTTAGATTCCTAATTGAGTTGGTGCCATGTTGTTTTTCATGTGCTTGTTAGTAAAGGCACATAAACAAGATGGCTATATTATCCAGCTCGATCTAAAATGTCTCTGTCTGTAATGGTTGACTTGTACAGATGAGCAAACACAACTGGTATCACGTGATTCTTATGCATTTGCTGTGCATGTGCTGAGGTTCTCAGTGGACTTCAGTAAGCCGGAGTAGTTTTTAATCGAGTGTATCTAACCTCATCTCTGATCTTTTATTGAAGCTCCAAGCCTTGCTGCAGATATGGATCAAACTGTGTCCGAGAGACGCACTGGAACTCCTGGACTTCAACTACCCAGATCAGTATGTGAGGGAGTACGCAGTGAAGTGCTTAAAAGAAATGAGGTTTGTTTAATGCAATACCCGCACCAGTGCTACTCTTTGAAGATTGTTTATTTTCGATGCACACTAAGGACTCGTGTGTTACAGAAAGGAACCGCAAAGTGGCATTGATTTGAGCATTTGGAAGCTATGTTAACTGTTGTGCAAATGAAACTTCAATGAAAACAAATCAGTTGTTGATGTTTGATATGTTTACAGATTTAAGTTTGGACTCAGTTTGCAGATTCACTGTTAAATTGAGGACTTTTGTTTAAGAAGTTCCCAGATTAATTTCTTGGCGTTTCCTGAGCTTAACAGATCTCACTGCAGGTGGGGTGGTGAGGGCATTACAATAGGCATCGGTGCCACTGGGCTAGAGTGGGGGGAAATGGTGTTTCCTATTATAAACAAGTAACTAAAAATCTATATTTCCAGCAATCGGAACAAGATAGACTTGATTGTCTAAGCACATGTATAAAGAACGGGCGCTTGGGTAAACTAGAATATAGGCAGGAGCCAGCGTTAATATAAACTTATCCCTCTAATCTTTTGTATTGATTAATTATGTAATTGCTCCGTACACAGTGAAACCCAACCCCCAAATAGACCCAATTATTAAAGGTGGGTAATCTTCATATATAACGCTTGTGTGATCACCCATCAGCATTTTTTTCCCATGAGAAGATAATCTAATTCTTGCAGAGAAAATATAAAAACCCACATTGTTTAATTAAAAAAAAATCTTTGTTTGCCTATTTTTAAAAATATGCTAAATCTGGATAAGGGGATTTGCAAAATTAAACCAGAATTTTGAGCAACACTGGGAAACACTTCAATTCGAAATCAAATCGAGCTTTGTGTAAAGAACATAGCCATTCATGCAAATCTTTTTAACACAAGCTCCCAATGTCCTTTCTCCCTGCCAGTGATGAAGAACTCTCCCAGTACCTCCTACAGCTGGTGCAAGTGCTGAAATATGAACCATACTTTGACTGTGCTCTTTCCAGATTTCTTTTGGAGCGAGCGCAAGCCAACAGAAGAATAGGTCACTTCCTGTTCTGGCATCTCAGGTGAGCAGATCTTGACACATGGAAATATATTGGATGCCGTTGCCATTATTAAGATCAATATCCCATTTCGTCTCTATTCTGAACACTTTATATTTCAATCCAACATTATTTTGTTGTGCCAATAACTCTTAAGGCAGATCCTGATTTCCTTTGTTTAACTCGCTTTCAGGTCTGAGATGCATTTGCCTGCTACTTCCCTGCAATTTGGCCTGATCTTGGAGTCCTACTGTCGGGGAAGTTTCACACACATAAAAGAGCTTTCCAAACAGGTATTTAGTTTCTTCACAATATTCAGGAACCATAATTTTAAAAATCTGACAGCAATAGGGCATTTGATTCGATTTTTTTTTCAATTACAGTATTAATGTTTTCAAACGATTTAAGCGTTGAACTCCAAAAAGTCACTTTTAATCCTATCACAAAATATATTTCAAAACTGTAAAAGGAACCCAATACTTAGAGTGTTCCATTGATCTTTTTAAACTCAAAGTTGCACCTTGTGGTTTTGCAGCTCATCAATATAACCACCGCACATGAAAAAGATAGTCGGAATTCTCCTCGTTGTGGTGCATCGGAAACAAGTTTTTGTTTGTCATTTATGATACAGGTCAATTAAAATTATAAGTTTCAATTCCAAAAAGATCATCAGGAACTCAGATGTCAACAGAGTTGAGGACGTTCCCAACTGTATAAACACGGAAGAAATTCAAAGAGCAAATACTTCAAAAAGTTCCTGTTTGTCCAGTGCAGGTTCCATTTGCCCCTTATCGGATGTGTTTCTCTGTGTCAAGACATTGGTGGAAACCTGGAGCTGTGTTGGTTTTGACAGATGGCTGACCTGGCTGTTTTTTGCTGTCAACATTTCAAAATCAAACGTACAATTTCCACAGCATCCTGTCTGTGGAGACTTTAAATATCTAAAGGAATTGCTAAGGTTCTTTTCGGACTTGTTAAAACCAAACCCCCTCCTCTCCAGAGCAGTTGCATGTTTTCTTTTCGGTATCAAAATGAGCTGACACTGAGCTCAGGAATCGCCTTTACGCCAATCATATTTTTATTGATGCTCTAATTTCAGTAAGAGTAATAATGGCACTGCACACAAAGGAAATGTATCTCTAATTTCCTACATTTAATCTATTGATGAATACAATAATGTTAATTGTAAATGTTTCTATTCCCAATTAATACAATAGTACCTTCAACATCTTGCTATTGGGGGATATATGGGAGAGGCTAAAAGATTCAAAAGGAAATTGAAAGGATTGGAATCAACCTTCTGATTGTTCCTTGCAGAAAATTAAGTTGAAGTATCTAATTTTAGAACAGATTATTTCAGGAGGGAAGCGATATTTTTATAAGGTTCCTTTTTCACTGTGAATTTGTGTGAATTTGACAGGAGTACTGCAATCTATCCACGGCAGTTTGTGGGACACTGCTGTGTGCAATTGGCTGCTGTGCTTCGCCCACAAAATATGCAGTCTATTCCCTTTACAGTGTATTCTGTGAAGCTCTTTGAGAAATCTTGAAGACATGTTAAGGCGCTATATCAAATGCAAGGATTATTATTATTATATAACTACCTTCTCTATCCAGCTGCTGCTGCCTATTGTAAGAATGACTGGGGAAGAAGCTCCATCTCTATTCCCTTTTTCTATTCCCTTCCATCGGGGACAATTTTGGTTGGCCCTTCGTGACCCTGTGGCTGAAATCAGGAACTGACCATCCCCCAAAGAAATTTCAATAACGTCTTACGGTTATTGAGCATTCGAGCTTGAACTTGCTGGATTTACCAGAAAATGAATTTTAGGGTACAATTTTGACCGAGCGTTTTGTGTATTGTTACATGCGGGGTAATATTTGTGGACAAATTTGTTATATTTTGTGACTGCATTCCCTGCCAATCTGTGGGAAATCCACTCCAGAAGTAGATCACACCAAAGCTGACCTCCCGTGGATTGGCGCCACAATAATAATCCATGCATTCTGATACAATGCCTGTCTCAAAGATGTCTCAAAGCGCTTCACAGAAAATACTGTAAAGTGAATTGACTGTATATTTTTGTGATGTACTTCCAGTTATTCAAAGTAAGTCCACATTTGTCCGACTCAAGTTTCCGTATTAAAGAATCCCATTTTAAAAAGTATCACAAATTAGGTCTATATATTTCTAACTCTTAAGCATGTAGTTTGGAAGTTAGTCCTGTTTCCTTGTGCATATATTAGGGATTAAAGGCTGCTAAATCTGGAATCATTTCCTTTACATGGATTATGTCAGTGTTGGCCTCTGTTTCAAAGTGAGAACTGAAATAATAATAGCTTTGCAAATTAATATTTAAAATACAACTTACTTGTGGCTCGGAGTTATCGTGGAGAACAAATTTTGTTGCCTGAGGTTTAGGGGGTCTAAAATGCAATATTTGGAACACAAATCTGTTGCTTTAATTGAGTGTGTTGCTCATTGACTGTACAATGGTACTCTATGAGATCGGCAATGAGAAATGCATAATGTTTCGGAGACATGGACTGAGGTTAGCGACAAAACCAATGCTGGAGCACTCCTGTGCAGTGTATGTTTTAAGCAGGATGTTTTGCTTATGAATGTAGAATTCTGTGTAAATATTTTTATTCCTCTCAACCTCTATTAAGGTAGCGTTGCTCAATAATCATTCAATCCGGTGATTAGAGAACAGTAAATACTGTCCTTTCATTTGCACACTCAGTTTTGGGATCTTTCCGCATTAATCTTGAGTCCTGGCAGGTATACAGAGACGCCAGTCTCTGGGCTGACAGATTTTGCACATTACCTGTAACATAGGAGTGGGTTTGCAAACCAGGGACATGTAAGTACAGCTCCTGCAACCCTGACCCACTAAAAGAAACACAAAAACCACTGAGCTGTGTAGCATTCCACATCTTTCCATCTTTTTTGAGAACTATAGTTCATCGTTTTCGAAGATCTCTTCAAAACAATTGAGAGAAATGGAGGGATGGGTTAACAGCAAAAATTATTAAATTAAAATCGAAGACTTTATCAGCTTTAAGACCCAGATGTTCTCTATTTATCTTTTCTGTGCACTCCTTATGATCACTGAAGCTGGTGTATGATAACTTGAGCCTTGCTTGTGAAAATAAAATCACAGGTTACATCTATTAATATCCGAATCTCTTGACTATCTTCTTTTCAGATGGAAGCCCTCAGTAAATTGAAGGCTATCAATAATCTAGTGAAACTTAGCTACTTGAAAGTAACAAGGACTAAAGTGAAAGAGGTAATGAATACTTGCCTAAAACAGCCTGTGTACACAGAAGCACTCTCTGACCTCCAGTCTCCTCTGAATCCCAGCGTTATCCTTTCAAAGCTAAAGTAAGTCCTCTACATCTCTAATCCATTTCTTGTTTTTAACAAAAATCTAGAGGAAGTTTGCTGTTTGAAAATGGTCCAAATGGTGAGCTGACCTCACAAGAATGTCATGAGCTTGCAAACTTGTTTCAGGTTGAGGGAGGTTTGTTAACTCCCACTGTGCAGTCTAGGTTAACCTTTGCTACGAAGGGATGACATATTACTGATTTAAGTACTAAAACACATAAGATGCATGTATGCCCATTCACACTGGTTCTTCAAGTGCGGTATAGCAGCATTGGACAGCAGTAATGGCCTGTACTAAATGCGCATGAATTTGCTACTGAAAATTGGTACATTTAATTGACCATTCCAAAGAGGTCCGATAAGTGGGATTTGTAGCATCGTTGAATCGACTTGCGTCCTTCATGGATCCTATGCCACATGAATTCAGGCTGCGTCCACTCAATTCCTTGAAAATAGCGGTTGTGCGGGAAATTAGTGCAGTAGAGAGGGTGGAATAAAGCTAGGATTAAAACAGATCTGGGAAGAGTAGAGGCAGACAACTAAGACCGATGTAGCACAGGCCAGAAGAAAAGGGCTAGAAAACAAAAGCTGAAACAAAATCCAAACGTGATATTTTCACAAATCATGATTGCAGGAGATAAAACTCTGATCAAACAGTAATGGAATGTGCAGTAAGATGCTGTACTGCTGGATATTTATGAGAAGGTGAAGTTACATGTAGTTTTACAGGAAGATACTGTTTATTAGTTGAATATTTATCCTGGTGAATAAGCAAACGTTTTTGGAGTGCGGAAGGAGCTTACAATGACATTGTCCAACATTGTCCTGAGCCAGCAGTTCAGAGCTGCAGAATGAAGTCATCTTGAACAGAAAAGCCATTTATCTTTGTTTTGGCAGTCATGGTGCTTTGTGTTACAGCATCGTAAAACTCTTTTCCCTGTTAAATGAGGCTAGGTTTAAAATGCTCCTTCCCTAAATGCTGGAAACTTGTACAAGGATTGCAATGTGCTACTTTATCTATCTTAGTGTCTTCCTTTTGCTTATCCATATACAATCTATTTTTGAGTTACAATAACCATTGCACAACTTGAAATGAACTGTATGTTAATTTGAGAAATCTAAATCTGCTCTGTACGGCAGTTGTCTGAAACAGTAAATTCTTCTAATTCCCTGCTCCCCAACAAACATGAAATAACTTGTTCCTGATTCTTTCTCACACACAGTGTGGACAAATGCAAGTTCATGGACTCCAAGATGAAACCTCTGTGGATACTGTACAACAACAAGATGTCTGGAGGGGAGCCAGTGGGCATTATTTTCAAAAATGGGGATGGTAAGCATTATGAAAGTCTTACCATTTGCAGATCAATAAAGCTAAGCAGGCTCTCCCATGGGCAAAGAGCTGTGGCTGAGGTCCACAGTAATCCAATAAATTGATTATTGTCTAGTCAGTCTGGCTCAACAATGACACTTGTTCACAAGCCAAAGTCCTGACAGATAGGATGGTGTTAGTTGGAAAATATGGCAACCAATTACCATGATTAGTGCTTCGTATGCTATTAAGCATCATTTGGAATGTATTACTATCTCATATGACTGAACCACAACTTTGCAAACTTATTGAGGAGATGGAAAAAGGCCAAATGGATCAGTATGGCTGAATTCTCGCGATGTTGCAGGGTACAGCAGAGCCTGTTCGACTGGCTTCAAAATGAGAAAAGTCCTCTGTGGGAGAGAAAAATCTATTTGGATCAATTATTCATGATGTGCAGCAGTGTCCTCTCCTGGTCACAGACAGAATTTCAGCTTTTCATCCAATTTAAAGGAAAAGCTGTCATTGTTTGATTATCGATTCAGTGCAAGCTAGGTACCTTTTATAACCACATGTTGGGAGGCCAGGAACATTCAATGTTTAGCATCCGATCGGGACTATTAATTCTTTCAGAGGCTCATCAAAGGTAACTGATATAGAAACAGCAGGAATAACTGATCTTGTTCGTCCTTCCGAATCAAACTGGACGGGGAAAAGGAAAGAAATAAATTCTGTATCAGGTTAAGGCATGGTATCTTGTCGAGGCAGTGGAATAGTTTATTGGGAGTTGTTGCAAAAGAGTAATTAGTTAAAAGGCTGAGATATCATGTGACGACCTGGCAGTAATCCTCACAGTTGGCAAATGTCTTTGGTTCTTGAATTACTGCTGGATCAAAATCCATCTTGTGATGGAGAATTAGGTCCTGGGAAAGAGCTGGATGATGGTTAGTTGAATTTGTGAAATATTGTGGACTTTAGTTTTTTGGCTATTTTTTTTTTAACCCCAAAATGTTGCCGTTTCTCTGACAACTCTGTGGGGTAAGCCATCATAACTAGTTATCACTGAAGCCATCTCTGAGAAGGTGTATAGTATAAACCTCATTAACCCCTTCTGTACTGTACTGTACTGTTTGATATTATCCAAACTATATAAATAAAAGTTGATGCTGATAGTTTGGGATACAGTAGGAATCTCCTAGCTCTGGTAACTGCACAGAAATATTTTTCTGTGTTTACCTCTTTAATGTCATTTGAAGTTCGCGTGTTTGTTATTTCAGGCAGTAATGAAAGATTTTTTGTTTATAATGGAACGTACTTTGGGTGTATATTTTCATTTCTCTAAGTACACTTGGCCTGGCTTTGCAACCAAATCTGACGGTGGTTTCTTTTACACAAAGGGCGAAGGTTTGAGCATAATCGCATTTGGTCCAAGCTTTTTATGTTTGAAAGTGTTTTAAAAGTACCAAAGAAAAAGGATGCTAAATATTTATATTGTACAAACTGTATGTATAAATAAAATGAGCTATTCAGATTGAGTAATGGGGATTATACTTCACATAGCATGGATTTGAGGCTCACAACAGTGACTGACCCCTAAGCTCAGTGCCACTGTATTAGATTTGCTACGGTTACTAGCCAAAGCTGGCTTTCCATGAAGCTGATCAGAATTGTTACTGGTGAAAGTTACAGAGAAGATTGGGACTAGTCAGCACCAGTCCACCAATTTTACCCAAGCATATTGTGAGGCACACAGGGTCTGCGAGAGTAAGACTGTGGCTGATAGTTACCTGTCTGCGAGAGTAAGACTGCGGCTGATAGTTACCTGTTTGGCAGAGAATACAAGTGGGATATTGCAAGGCCTTGCTGGTATTTAGTTTCAATTGGAGTACAAACCGCCACTGCAGCACGGTGACAGTTCACTTTATTATGAGGCTAACGTACTGATAAATGGGAAGGCAAAATAGTGCATCGGTCTCCAGTTTTATCCTAGTTATTCTTTCCAATTGCAGACTTGCGCCAGGATATGCTTGCTCTTCAGATTCTGCGACTGATGGACATGCTGTGGAAGGAGGCAGGCCTTGACCTCAGGTAGGCACAATTCCCTGTTTTCAGCCACCTTTAAACCACCTTGCTCTGCAGACTGCTGCAGTCGGCACCCAACAAACTTTTCCATTTGCTCCATCTCAAAATTTGAAGCACATTTAAAGGAAAACACAAAGAGGAAAGGAGACCGATTAGGCCTTGAGGCACAGTTAACTCAGAATGGTGCATATGGTGTCATTATGTGGCAGCTTGATCTTAACTTTGATGTGCTCATTGAGTTGGAGCATGTTTTTGCCTGAAGAATATAAACTTTTTGCAGCAAAAGTAATATGTGCATATTTTCGGAATTAAATCCAATCCACAGCAAAGCCATGCTGGGTAGATTATCGCGTTAGCTGTTTTGCATTAGCGATGAGATAACTCAATGGTTCTCCTATTATTTTAGGTAGTTTGGATATTGTTTCTGTCTCACCTTAGCCTGCTTGCTGTCCGTAGTGCAAATGTTTTTAGTGCATGGGACAGGGAAGAGAATAGACCTAAGCAATAGTGAAGACCAATCTGGATGCAGTTTTGCTTTAAGTATCACTGATGCTATGTCAGATAAGCAGACATTATTATGAAGGGAAACATCAGTAAATCATTCTGACATACAGTTAAAGGAAGGAAAAAGTCATCTGATTGCCAAGAATTGCATGTAGATCTGTCAGTCTTCTTACCAAATGTACACAAAAATTCAGCATTTGCGTTGTTGATAAAAGGGCCAGGATGAGATGGACTGGGCCCTGAGGATGTGTCCTCAGCTTGACTCCTGTCGGGCTGCCTTTCTGACCAGGATGTTTTTTCCCCTCACTTTGATCCTTTTGACCTCTGGGGGCTAAGCAACCTTTCATCATAGCTTTCTTTCAGAAGGGAAGCAGTTGGAGGTGTGCCTAGCAGAGCTGTAAGTAGGGTATGTTGAAATGCAGTGGAAAGATGCCAATTTGCCCTTTGAACCTCATATGCACTTGGCGTACATTTGTCATGCTGTGAGAAGATGGGCAGCTCTTCCCTGTGTCACGCTGGTTTTCAATTAGTCTGTAACTTTTTGATTAGATTCTTCTTCTCCATTGGAAAACAAGCTTTATTAATGCACAGGACTACTTTAGGAAAAGCATCAATTGATTAGTTTTTTTTAAGGTCAGCTGAATGTTTATCACATGGAAACCCATCGTCGAGCTTAAGAGTAACTAAACTGATAATTCCACATGTGTATGCCACCTACACACAGAAATGTTTCTGTATTTGGTATGGAGTGTGGAGGGATGCTTGAGAGTATTAGGTGCAAGTTGGTGAGATATTTTGTTTAACTCACAAAATATACCGTCAATTCACTTTACAGTATATTCTGTGAAGCGCTTCTCAACGACGTGATAAGGTGCTATATCAAATGCAAGGATTATTATATTTTATAAAACATAGGGATCCCAGAATGTGCATTGCTATGATGTAACCAGCTAAAAACCGCATAGCTTGCCGTTGAGAGCACTGTCTGGCAAGCTTCCTGCTTCTCGTCCAGGTAGGTTTTATATTTTTATTCCAAGTTGGCACGGGGCAGTGAGGGTCATTGTATGACCGTGTTTTACGAGCTGGGAGACTGAGCTGAAGTACAGTCCAGGTGCCAAAATATCCAAAGAAGAAAAAAAACATCTGGACTTTGCCATACTTTCCGCCTTGGCCCTGCTGGCTTCCAGTTTGGGTGTGCGCTGGTGTGGACAGAATGCAGCGCCATCTGTTGTTCTTCTTGCATGACCACAACTGTGGAAACATTCCTGTTTGGTTCTGCAGGAAGTACACATCGTCCCAGGTTTCAGACTGCTGGATGAGCGATAGGGATAATTTCCTTCTTGTGGGTTTTCCTTTGGTTTAATTTACCATAAGGTTAGTCTCAAACCCGAAAGAAACAAGCCAAGAAAAAATTCTCAAAACATGCTTGTTTCCTCGCTCTCTTGCAATTAAAAGTGATCTATGTGTTACTGGTTATAGTTTGCGGTAATAAAACACAATCCTTGCATTTTATATAGTACCTTTCACATCAAGGGGGGAGGAGGACATCTCATAGCGCTTCACAGGGTACACTGTAAAATCTAGTGACTGTGTGTCTACAAACGCCTACACTATTGCGCTATTAAATACCTTAAATAATAAAGCAGAAAGCATCACCACATCCAGACTACCAATAAAAACATAGCTTTTCAATATCAATCATGGACTTTTTTTAAAGTGGATGAATAGTAGAGTTCTACAAACTATTGAACATCAAGATGAGTTAGATTCTCGCTTGTTAATGACATTCCTTTAGATTTGAAACTTGGTCCCCCAATAGAATGTTAGTAGTGCATTACTGTTCTTCATGAATTCATATACAGTTAAAAATATTGTAGTGTACTTACTGTTCAACTTCTCCTCTCTTCCTTTACCTCACACAGAATTGTGCCTTATGGTTGCCTTGCAACTGGTGATAAATCTGGCCTTATCGAGGTGGTCTCTGCTTCAGAAACTATAGCCAATATTCAGCTGACTAATAGCAATGTAGCTGCTACTGCGGCCTTCAATAAAGATGCCTTACTGAACTGGCTTAAGGAAAAGAACACTGGGTAAGGCTTGCTCATCTTTGGGGTACTGTATCAGTCATTAGGAAAGTATGGACTGTACAGATGGAATATCTGCAGCAAATGTTGAGATTTTAATTTGATGCCACTGTTAAATCTTGTTAAGAGTGGTTTAGAATATTAGTTTGCCATTTAGCAGAAATTTGAATGATTGCTTTGGATCGTGTGGTAAACGTCATTGCTAATCCCTTTAGTTGTCAAAAATATTTTGCTTTAATGGTGTTATAAGGACTATTGGATTTTGCTTCTGAAAGGCGTGTGTGTGTTATGAACATTTTTAAATGGTTGGGATGGTGTACTATGTATGCAATTTAACCTCTATTTGTTTGATAACCGTAAATAACACAATTTATTACCTAAAATTTATTCCCAATTTATGATCCCCTCACTTATCCTCTATTACTCGATCTCGGTCCTGTATAATTCTCTTCTTTATTGCTGTGGCTCTTAAATGTCTTGAATGTCTCGTTCAAAGTTTAAATATTTGTAAGCCGCTGGGGCTTATTTGATCAATGCAGCTCTGAAATGTAATTTACACATATTCACTGTGACCGAAATCCCATTTGATTTTCATTGTTTCTCATATTTTGTTTCCACCCAGGGATGCTCTCGATCGAGCAATCGAGGAATTTACTCTGTCGTGTGCTGGCTACTGTGTAGCTACTTATGTATTGGGAATCGGGGATAGACACAGTGATAACATCATGGTCCGGGAAACTGGTCAGGTAGGCTAAAATAATGTTATTATTTTAGTGCTCGACACAGGACAAGATTAACAACAACAACAAGATTCCATTTATAGAGCGCCTTTCAGGTCGGGAGGACATCCCAAGGCGCTGGACAGTTGCAGGGGGGAAATGGTCAGGGTGAGAGGAGGGAAGGGAGGGAGCGAGGAGGGGGGAAATGGTCAGGGTGAGAGGAGGGAAGGGAGGGAGCGAGGAGGGGGGAAATGGTCAGGTTGAGGGAGGGAAGGTGTGATGTGATTTTTTGCAGCGTAATTGGACCTAATGTTTCAGGATGGTGTTATTTGGTTTCAATTTTCACTGATTAATTTTCCCGTTTGGGTGGCGGAGGAAGGTGGTTACACTCGGGGAAGCTTGCCCAGCATGAGAAAGGGGGCAACAACATTTTAAGTTTGTAAATTTGTTGCAGACGTTGACATTTTCTAAATAAAACGCACGAGTTGTTGTTTCCTTCGGGAATTTTGTTTTTAAAAATTGTATTCAAGTCAAATATTGGACCAAATTTTTGCATGGCACCAATCTTCTCTCTTTTTGTATTCTAAGCTTTTTCACATTGATTTTGGACATATCCTTGGAAATTTCAAATCTAAATTTGGTATTAAGAGAGAGCGAGTGCCTTTCATTCTCACCCATGACTTCATTCACGTCATCCAGCAAGGAAAGCCAGGAAATGCCGAAAAGTTTGGCAGGTAAATGTTTAAGCCTTGACTCCCAATATCACAGGTGTTAAAACGTGTCTAGTATGTATATGTGACAGCATGTAATTTCCAATATTTAACTGAAAATGTGAAATATGTTAATAGAAGTCTGAGAGCAACATAATTGGGTTCCTCTTTTGGGGAATGGTGAATAGGGTGATGGTGGTAGGGTAAGTTAACTTGCATTTGTAGTATGCATTACTGCAAACTTGTGAGAAGCTTTAATTCTTTTCACTTTTGAGGTATTCGAACCATTGCGGGTATTTGGGTTGAAAAACCCAAAGGTAAAATAGCTTTTGTTCATTGCTGGGCTAATGTATTATCCAAATATCTTTCAGTAATCTGTACATTTCCCTATTGAAATGGAAACCAAGAGTTGGGGAGAACCAAGTGTGTCCACAGCAAACTTTCCTTATGCCATTTTCCCCTTATCATTTCATGACCCGTAGTTCACAGAATATGATATACTTTGTGCTGTTTCTCTCCTTGTTCAAGGTTCCGTCAGTGTTGTGAAGAGGCTTATCTGATCCTGAGAAAGAACGGAAACCTCTTCATCACTCTGTTTGCACTAATGTTAACAGCAGGATTGCCTGAGCTGAGCTCTGTCAAAGACATTCAGTATCTTAAGGTATAGTGAACACTTTAAGTTGTAAGTATAAAAAAACCACTCTGAGCCATTCTGAGCTACTGCTTGTGTCAAAGTACAAAATAACTTGGGTTCTCCTTGTGCTTTCATTTACCCTAACCCAAGAGAGGCATTATACAGTTAAATATCTTCTTTTCAAATGTAGTTTTGTTGTTGTTCCTGATAGGCCCAGTTAGCATTGTCTGATGCCTATTGAACATTAGTTCAATAGGCATCAGCCAATGTTAACTAATGCTCACTAGTTACTGGTGCTCACTGGTTTACTTTATCGCTTTTTGATTACCTTGAATTTGCAAGGTGTACATGCTTTACATGCTATTTTCTGGTAATGAGATTGATCTCACCCTCTGTCAAAGATCAGCAATGAACTCTGTGGCTAGTACGATGTAAATGTAACATGGAAGCTTTCATAATTTGAGGTTTAAAAAAAGTCCTCTATTGCCCTATATGTGTGTATATACATATATATAGAGAGAGAGTATTGTTAACTGGGTATTGTATAAATGTTCCTTTAATTGGTTTTGAACCACAGCTTGATTAAGACTAAAACATCTGATATTTTATATTTTCTTCAATTGCCCACAGGACTCTTTGGCTTTAGGAAAGAGCGATGACGAAGCATTGAAACAGTTTCGGCAAAAGTTTGACGAGGCTCTTCGTGAAAGTTGGACAACAAAAGTGAACTGGATGGCTCATATTGTGGCGAAAGACAACCGCTCCTAGCGACGTGAGAAATGGACTGAAAATGACTTTACAGGGTGTAAAGAAGGGAACAGCTGATGCCTGGACCAAACTGCAGGAGAATTTCCTGATTGTTGCACTTCATGCCTTCTCCCTTCCAGTGCAACTAGATCTGATGCGTGTATATGTGTGTGTGTGTTATATATATATATATATATATATATATATTACACATACACATATAAGTGCTGAAACTTGCTGACTTCACACTCTGTGGGCTACCCATTGCTTCATCTTCAGATTTTTAATGGCGTGGTACTAGTGGAATTGGTGTACATTTTTTATTTGAGATATTAGGGGCTGACTGATACCAAGCTTTCAATACAACCAGTACTGATATTGTGTGTTTTTTTTGTTTGATTTGGGCCATTACTCACACCCAGTACCTATTTATATCGATTCATTTTTAGTTTGAAAGCTGTACAATTTTAAAATTCTAAAGCAGGGCACAGGAAGCAACCGTGTTATGAAGTAATCACGGCCGGGTGGTATTATAATTTTTGGAGTGTGTAAAGTATTTATATCAACTAGGGTTTATAAGGAACATCACTCCATACCATAGTAGCAAGCAGCACCAAACACGAGTATTAGTCAATCTTTCTGGATAGGTGCTGAAGAGCAGACCAGATTGCTGCAACATTTGGTTTAAAATCTGAGGCAAACTGTTTTTTTTACTGAAAAGCTTGAAGAATAACATAAGGTTAATAATCGTTGGGTCTAGAGGGGTAAACACAAACGGTATTTTATGCCCACATCTATGTTCCCATGACACTAATCAACGTACATTCATGTTGTTCGTGGATGTGATATGAATCACGTGTTAGTAACCCTAGAAAGTTTTTTTTAGTTTTCTCTCTGGTCTTCATTCTGCTGTAATCATAGTGCTGAATAAGGAAGTTTTTAGCAACAACAAAAATGTACGTTACATGTCCTCTTTCCTAATTATTATCTTGTCGGCAGTTCAGAGTTGTGTGAACCATTACAATGCAAACACTCATGAGTTGTCCTCAAATGATTTTTCCTTTTTTTTCTTAGTCATCTGCAGTATCTTAGAAAAGACTGCCACATTGTGTATTTTATAAGTTATAGAGTTATAAACTGCAGATCAAGATCGTATTACAGAACATCCAGTGCTTGAGGGTGTAAATGTAAACTGGTTTGAAAAGGATTATAGATAGTGAAACGGGTATATTGTGGATGAGCTACCTTAATCTAGGTTGAAGTCTTTGTTATTCTGAAAACTTCTGGAAATCTGTCAGAAAGGTTAGAGTGGTTTTACTCCTTGTGGTTATGTAGTATTAATCAATCACTTACTGTGGGATTGGTGATATACTGGTGCCTGTGTCCATTTTCTGTCACCATAAGATGAGCCCTGTGTGGTAGAACCGCAGTGCCTGCCTTAAAGAGTGCCCATGATTGGATTTTTGCTTTTTTTAAAAAAAAATTACTAATTTCATGCAATGAAAATCATGCATTAAAGAAGCTGTTAAGGAATGGGCCAGGAATTCTGATATCAGTCATGTAGGTACAGATGAGTTGCAGCACTGTGCATAAGAATGCAATATGTGCTGTTTACTAAACGTACAGTACCAAAGGCGTTCAAGATGCCTTAGACATTGAATTCTTGTAACACACGTTCTATTTTGACTTGAATCCCCATTTGTAAACCACCATTCTGCTTTTAATCTCCACTGCGGTCTGCACTGGAGACGTGGCTGCTTTTTTCTCACCATTACCTGACGTGCACCTAGTAATGCAGATGGAATCCAAATTGTGCACCAAAATGAATACTGGTCCATGATTATAATAAAGGAGGTAACTTAATTCTTATCTGAATTCTGAATCCTCTGACTTGCCTATAGCTGTTCTCTATTTAGAATGCTCATTAACGTGAATCCTGTTTTTTTTTTAATCCATCCTAAATTCTAGTGCACCTCATGAAAAATACTAAATTATGGAAACTTGCATTTGGGTGAATTTCATGTGAATTTTGGAATCGCAGACTAATGGCATGTTACAGTTGTGGTTTATGAAGAGAGTGGTACTGCTTTTCTTCCCAGGTGCTATGCAGACGGCTACTTGTGCAATATGAAAATGCTTGTAGAAAAGGCACAATTGCAAGCGTTAAATAAGTGTCCGTAAAATATCTCTCTTTACTGCTGCTGTCTCTCCAGCAAAGGAGTTGAGTAGTTTTGACTTGATGTAGACATTAGAAAGCTTTGTGAATACCTTTCAGTCTTGAATTTAAAAAAACAATTAAAGGTATAGTATTTCAGGCTCTTGACATGGGGTAGTTTTCTTACAAGAAGGGTACAGTTTACTAAGATTCAGCAGATAATAGGAACTAACTGTTTCTAAACAAATACACAGCACAGATTTTATGGAGAATGTTATGAGAGAAAAAAAATTCTTCAGTACGCTCAAAACCACATAAGATTTGAGAAAAGTGAAACTGTTCCTGTACTGTTTCACTTTGCATGAAAAGGACAGTTACCCAAACAATAAAGTGATGTTTAAAGCAGAGGTGAATGGATATGAAAATATTTGTTTTGATTCTTTGTTGTATTTTTGCATAGTAACCATCGTTTTTGCCAAGGATCCCTTTCACACACTTCTGTACTTCTGAAATTGATGAACCAGATTATTGTAGAGCAGTAACAGAGCAGTTTCTCTGAAGTTGTCAGTGTGATAAAGATTGCCGTCAACCACATATACAAACTTGCAGTGAATGCTTTGGTGCATGTTTGCAGCCATGTGTATATGCTGCATTTATATGTGCCTGTTTCCAGTCAATTAACTCAATAATTGTATAAATTAACTCAATTAAACGGGCTGGGAATACTTTTCAAATGTTAACATAAGCAACTCATTTTCAAAGCAGGTCAAACAGGTATTCCTTGGCCTAATTTTGCAACAAAAAAAAACTCACCAATTCAGATGCTATAATATTTCAGATTTTGTCAATTGATGGATTTGATGGTTAAATTGTCAACGTATATGCTAAACCTTACCTGCAAAAGTCCCAAAGTGTTCATATGAATTATTCTTATTTATTTTAAATCCTTTTTACTATTTTTGTATGTTCTGATCTCTGTTGACTTCCATCTATCGAAGTCCCCCTTCGCTTTGGGGCTGTGGGACGTTCCGAGCTACAGTCATCTCCGTAGCTGCGTCGATGCTGCTTTTTAACTGGTCAGGAGGTACTCTCGGTAACGCAGGGAAGGGCGGATAACTCTCCTTTCTAAGATGGAGCACTCTACCTCTAGAGAGGCAGGAAAGGTGGCCATGTTGTGACCGACTAAGAATAGTCAAAACTTGGCGGTTGGTGATCAAAGCTTGAACACGAATTGTGGTTAAAAATCTGAGCTGCTGCCTCAGCCGTCGGTTCCAATACTTAACAATTGTTGCTACTACTGAGTTATGTAGATTTGTATAGAATTATATGCATTTGTGGTTTTCTTGGTATATAGTTCAGGTTGCACTCTGAAAGGGATCAGGCAACTGCCCTACAGTACACCAATATTATACAGACCCATGTTTTTATTATTTCCATTGGTTCATAAAATTGAAACGATGTATATTGTGAATGATTGAAGGACTCAGTGGGTGAGATAAATACAAAAGATTGTGCTGTGCCTTTTAAAGATTTACCACAGATTTTGAATGTAATGTACTGATGTAAAGACGTGTTTCAGAAATTTTGGGCAGGACATATTTGACCAAATGTGATATTTCAGATGGAAAAGTGCAAAGACATTTACTAAACGGCTGTTACGTGTATATTTTGCTTTTAAATAAATTGTTTTTTTAATATATAAAACATTTGTTCTCTCTCTTTGAATACTAGGTATTGATACACAGGTATACTGTTTTCTAATGCAACTATTATGTAATGTGTAATTATACAACTATTATAAAATGTACAATATTCAGTGATTATTCTTATTATAGAACATTAAATATGTCTGTATTCTTGGTCCTTTCTTGATGGCTATCTGTGAGATTGTCTAACTGGTTTGGGTAGGACGCTGTGTCATGAGGGGGCTGTTTAAGAAGCTCATTAGCACATAAATATGAAGCTTGTTAATGCTGAACTAAACTTCCTACAACATCCAAATATTACAAATTCAGTTCAGCCTGCTTTAAATGTTAGACTTTTCATCGCAAAATGTTAGTTACAATTCATCTTTGCAAACTGCATTTAGGCAATTCAACATGTTTATTTCAGCAGTTTAGAAGTTCACAATATGCTACAAAATTACTGTAATCTTGAAAACCTGCTAGTTCTTCTTAAAAACTAAAATTGCTGAGGGATTTTGGCTGAAGGTTTTACGAATGAGGTGTTACTTATTTGACTTCTAGAATAAAGTATGAAACTATAAAATGAGACATTGTCACTAACAATTTACTCCTCGCTGGCATTTTAAATGAAAAAAAATAATTGCTGTTCAGTGTTTATAAGGGGCTAACGTGTCATTTCAGGAAGACGTTTAGAGTGGAGCTATTAAATTACCATCTTTGCTGCATCTCATCATACAGTGTGGAGTTTACCTGAATAAATTTAAATTCAAGTGTTAAGTTATTCAGTATTTACTCTGGGCAAGATATTGAACAGTGCACCTAATATTGTGTGGTCAGGACCATTCTCAAACAGCGTGAATTTTGCTAGGCTGAAAGACTGCTCCCTCATAGAACCGTTGGACAGAGTTTAATGTTGGCAGTCTTCCTAGTTTTAACTCCACGTCACTGAAGTTGACTTCTGTTCTTCTTTTCAGTTAAGAAGGAAGCTGCGTGAGTTGTACAGCGCTGATTCCCTTAGGATCAAATGCAAGGATTATATTTGGTTGTCAGAGGATAGTTCCTCTGCCATTCTTTGCCTCACAAATGTGGTCATTTTGGGGATGACAGGAAGATGTTTATTTGATCCCTTTTGAACAAAGCTGTCTGCATATTTCTGGCCATGGTCAGTGGTGCTCAGTGAAATGCTGAGCCTGAAACCAGCTGATTGTTTTCTCCCCGTCCTCTCCACATTATCAGTTATGGCATCATTTTTAATATTCAAATTCCAACACTTTTTACTTCATCAAGTTCCCGGATTATTTCTATGAAGTAAAATAAAACGCTACACAATTGTTTGAATTGCCTGCTTT